CAACCATCTCTTATGATTAAATCACATTTGGAAAACCTAAATACAGTCTAGGTTTTTTGATGATGGTTCCATTTCTTTTCCCAGTGTTGCTAGAAGTAGTAGTAAGTGTAGGATTTCTAAACTTTTTGTCAAATTGTTAATGAATTTTGAATTATATGATATAAGGTCTAAGGGATATACTAGTAACCCAATATCTTGAATTTGATAAATAAGACCAATTTTCTCACCTACTATTAACCCAATATCATTATCTATCACATCCAAAGGGAAATCATGTGTTTGAACCCATACCTCAGCATCCTTAATAGAGACTGAAGAAGAGAATTCCATTCTTAAAAAAAAAAAAAAAACTGATAAAAAACATAGCAAGGACTCTCCATTATATAACATGATCAAAATAACCCAAATCTCTAAACAGGGCCCTAAAATACCTTTCTACAATGGAAGAACCTTCATATCTTTTGGAGATACATTCTTTGACTGCATGCAAAGCTTTCCCTAGCTCCTCAAAGGAATTATTGATTTTGGAAACAGACAACCAATACTATAATACCTAGCCAAAGTTGCACTGCAATGAACAACAATAACATTCACACCTACATCAATACATTCATGGACAACATGCTCAAAAGCAATATATGACTCCCGCATATTTTCCATGAGCATAACAAAAGAGGTGAACGAATAATAAAAAGGAATAACACACTCAAAAACGAGACCGGGCCTAGTAGGCATAACATAAACAAACACGTCAAATTAGCATTTGATAAATATTTTGACAACAGTTAAAAGTGAGTTTTAATCTTTTTCAAGGGTGGGCTGAGGGTATTTTAGCGAACAGGTGTCAAAAGAATTTTCAAGTGCCCATAAAAAGTGCTTACAACGTTGTGCTTATCTGATCCAAACTGCTCAAAAACTAGTCCAAAGAAAACAAGAATACTCTAAACAAGGTAAACAAAGTAAGCAACCCTCCCATGAAAGCATTAACAAGAAAGAGAACCAAAAAAACCAAATAACCAGGGGATAAAACCCTACATCAAGGGAAATTCTCCAACATTGGGGGGACCAAAATACCCTCCACAAAAACACAAAACACAAATAGACACTCTCCTTAGAAAACTAGCAAAATAACATGAACACTCAAATTAATGATGCATTTTTTCTTTTCTTCTTCTCCTTTTTTGTCCTAAAGGTTCATCTCGATTCTTAATCCAACAAGCCTAAATAAGATTTCGATGAAAAGGATTGGTTAGCCACCTCACTTAGGAGAGGTTTTGGTTAGTGGGATCACGGTTAGAGAAGGAGAGGTGGTGGTTCGAGTTATAAGAGTAGGCTTATGAGTTTGTGTGGGAGAGTCGAGGTTAGAGAAAGAGAAAGTCTATCATCATAGGCGTTTGGTTGGTGAGGTGGAGGGTATTCAACGACTCTAGTTACCACACTCCATTTGGAGTTACAAAGATAGATGTGGAATTGCAAATCTAAGGTAGGGGAACAGAGGTGGTGAGTCCGGTGTTTTGGTCTAAAGCTAACTTTGAAACCTTGTCTGTCGATGGGCTAAAGGTAACTTTGAAACCTTGGACTACAAGCTTAGCGAAGCTGCATTATGTCTGGGGAACAGAGGTGGGGAGTCCGGTATTTTGGTCTCCCTCCTCAAATTTGGTGTTGGTATCTAGACAACTTGCAGTGGAAAGAGGTTGAGTCTCTCTAGTTGGTGATCTGGTGCATGCTTCGTTTGAGCTCCCCGAGTCACTAACCGAGCATTGAAGTTCTAGGTGAGGTCTTTATTGTTAGGGTTGTTGTTGAGGGGCTAGAGTCTCTATTTGAAATGAATAGACGAGTATATAAGGTGGTGGCCATGGATTTGGAGTAGGGATTGTTAGAGGTTCTACGGATGGTGGAGGGAGTTCGGCTTCAGTCAGGGCAAACTCTCTTCGGGTAGCCTCTACTGCCTTGCATTGAGAATATCTCTATACTAATATGCTTTATTTTATGGGAAGATATTCTCAATACAAGGTTGGAAAAGGCTGTTAGAACTGTGTGAGCATGAATTTGCCATGACTGAAGCCAGGTCTCTGGTGGAGGACGATGATGGGAAGTCTCTAGCATTTGTTTCAAATTCTAAGGGTGAAGGTGATGCTTGTGGTCCTGTGAAGGGGGTTTATGAGAAACAAATAGGAAGAGTAGAAGGAAACATCGTCACTCAGGACTAATTAACTTTGTGTATTATGTTTGGTTCCGTGGGCATTTATAGATGGGGTGTTTCTCAGATAATCATTTTATTGAAAAACGTTACTTTAAACATTTATTATTATTTTTTGTTATTTGGTTGGGTGTTTCAAATAATACCCCATAAAGTTATTTTCCACCTCAGCTTAYAATGCTCTAAGTAAGCATTGCATTTCAATAAATGTTGGGCCATTGGGAGAAACCAGAATTTGAAGTATCTTCTACTGGTTTATGCACAAGTGTTTCTATTTTTTAATGTTTATTTGATAAATGTTAAAACCAAACAATGGTTTCATGCACAATAAATAGTGCTGATGTGGCAGCATTTTTCCAATAAATGCCCATAAAACCAAGCATGCTCTTTGTCTCCTCGAGGGTTTGCCCAAATGGAAGTTATCATTTTGTATGTACATGGGTTTGGTTCTATTTACATTTTTCATTCAACGTTTGTACTTTATTTGCTTGCAAAACGGAGAAAAGTAATAATTACAACTGTTTATGACAATTAGACACCACTAAGCACCACATCAGTGTAATAGCGAAAAACTCTTAATCGTTTGTGGAAGCTTTAAAAAATAACTTTTGTAAATGGTAGACGTGCACAAAAACCAAAGTCCACTTCTACCATTCTTGATGAATACAAAAAAACAAGAGGAAACTACTGAAGTGGTGCTTATATAACAACGTTTATTGAATAAACACCCACAAAACCAAACGCCCTATTTGTGGTATCGGAGGTGGGTGATCATTTAGTCTGCTCAAGTAGGCAACAGAGGATGCTTCATTCAAACTCTATTTCTGCATCTCATTTTGGAAAGCAAATCTTGTACTCAAGTAGGGGGCCCTGTTTTGCAGATGGCGGATCCGGTTGTGGACTTGTGGGTTGTGAGATATGGAGTAGTTTTAATTGGTGTTCAAGTCAGGCCTGGAGTTTAGGCTATGTTTGGTTTGAAGGAAAAGGTACGGAAAGGCCTTCAAACCAAACACAGCAGGAAGGCAAAGCGATAAATGTTAACCTGACGAGGAATTTAAGAAGTTTAATCCTTGCTAAGGATGTTTGCAAGAAAAACTGGTTTAAGAATTTTTTGCAATAAGTTAGCAAATAGAAGATCGAATATGCAATGGAGTTGGGTGAAACCCTAATGTTGGCAAGAGAAGAGTTGGTTACCATTGCTAAAGCATCTCTAAATGGTAGAGCAGGTGAAGCGGAGGAAGAGAAAAGTTTGTCCCCCGTCGAGCCTAGCTGGGGAAAGTTTAGTGGAAATTCTTTATATCCTGATTACAGGCTCCTCCATGGACTCCAAGAATGTTAAATGGAGGACAGAACAAGGTCATCAAGTGGAAATGACTTGGCCTTACATTTTTGGGAGGCCAAGAGTTTGTGAGAAAGGTGTTAGGAAAGCAACAAACTATATACTCTCGGGAAGTAGAGGTTTGGGCAAGGACCAAGGTTTAGCGGGTTGAGTTTCGATATAATTGGAACCGACCCTATAAAAAATATTAAGGAATTGGAACTGAACCGATTGATTCTCAAGGTTATTGGGTCTGATTCAATGGAGCCCGATTATGATAAAACCCACTGAAAATATTATACATTTTATATGGCTCAGTCTGGGTCTGAATCAATTTGGGACTGAGTAGAATCAGTTTTAAACCGATAATAATCGGGCCTAGATCAGAAACTGAAACCCGTCCCATTGGTACCAGATCCTGAAACCAAAACCTGCACAATTAATTTGGGTCCATTGGGTCCGTCAGGTCGGACCTAAGTTCTTTGTGCATGTGGGTCTGTGGCGGTCTTGGCTAAGTTTTTTTCTTTTTTGCGATGGCAGTTTTCGTTCTTGCTTGTATGAAATTCTTTTTTCTTTTTATCTTAAAAAAAATAGGTTTTCGATGGTAAGGCGGCTAATTTTAGGCAGAGAATTTAGAAATTGAATTCTGTCTGCACTTGGAAAGGTAGGGGAAGGAGGTAAAGACAGGATGGTTTTATTTTGAGAGAGAGGTTGCAGGTTTCTTGACTGTTTATTCCAAGTTTTTTTTTTTTTCCCAAAGAAGTTTATTCCAAGGTTGGGTCTCTGGCAGAAATTCCCAACCCGACCCGGATCCGGATCACTTCCAATCATATGATACGCCTATATGCATATATTACCAAGAGATTTTCAGGGGTTAGATAGATCAAGTGATCTCTATTTTCAGAAGTCAGAACTACTTGATCGCTGTCGGTTTAAATTTCTCATTACGGATCAACCAATATTTGTTTAGAAACCGTTTCATCGGCTATACCTAACTTGTATTTTAATGGCACTAGCAATTAATCATCAACCCTTTGTCCATGTCATTCTCCGGCATCAGACCCCGGAAAAATCTTGGTTTGATCTTCTTCTTATAATTCCATTTAGTTAAGTACTTTTGCAGAGAATTAATTATTTGATTATTTAAAGAAAACTAATTAAGCAGAAGAGCAATTAAGGGTCCAAAAGCTTAGGGGATTTAATTAATTTCTCTGAGATTAGAAATCTTTTTGATTGATTGGTAGTCAGTCAATTTTCTCACGCAAATAATGCGAAAGATGGATTTCTTTCATTTTTCTTTTTTGTTTTATTTTATTTGCGTGGGTGGGGCATAAACAAGTTGGCCATTTTTATAGAATAAAAAAAGAAATTAATTAATTAATCAAATATTTTAAAAATCGCTTTCGTGTACTCCATCATGAAGTTAATTCTTCACCCTATAAATCATAGACAATTGTAATGGTTGCTCAAGGATTTCATCATTTCAGTTCTCTTATTTTCTTTGCAAATGGAGTTGGGTGGCGTTGTTGAGTCTCTTCAGAACAAGACCATCTTTGTCACTGGTGCTACTGGTTTTGTAGCAAAGAGTATTACTCCATCATCTCCTTTGATCTCCTATGTTGTCTGATTGATCTATCTATCTCCTTGTTGGTTTTACTTTTGCCGGACTAACTTAACTGGCTTCCGGTGATGCAGTTTTTGTGGAGAAGATCCTCAGACTTCAGCCTAATGTCAAGAAGCTCTATCTGCTTCTGAGAGCTCCAGATACAAAGTCAGCCACAGAGAGGCTTCATAATGAGGTATGCAGACGTGGGTCTCCTTTCTTCGTCTATTTGAAGTTGTAAAAAGTGAAAACAAGACCTGAGAATGGAATATTCTTTAGTTGGAGCTTTCCTTTTCAAATCGTTTTATTAATTCCAGCTTTTAGAGTTGTATTGAGTATTGACAATACAAAGGTCCGTTTGTCTTCATGTTGATCTGTCACATCTGCTGATTAACGTGATTAATTTCTTCTGGTAACAGGTTTTGGAAAAGGAGGTGTTTAGGGTCCTGAGACAGAAACATGGTGCCGGTTTTGATTCTTTCATGTCGGAAAAAGTGATTCCGGTGACGGGGGACATCACCTGTGACAACTTGGGATTAGAAGACTCTGATGTGAGAGATGAAATGTGGGGGGAGATTGATATTGTCGTTAACGTAGCTGCAACTGTGAACTTTGATGAGAGGTAATCAATAACCACGGAACAATCATTTTCATTTTTCGCATCGAAGTTGGCTCCGTTTAATTATCTGTTTCAGTTCAGAAGGAGGCCGCAGAATTTCATTTTTTTTTTTTTACCCTGCAGCAATATATCAAATTTGTTTTCTTCTGTTTTACGGGTAAAGTCAAACTTTGTTTTCTAGAAATTTTACAGAAAGCTTAAAAACATATTTATCTGTGTGTAGATATGATGATGCGCTGCATGTCAATACCTTTGGTGCGAGGAATGTTTTGAACTTCGCGAAGAAATGTGCCAAGTTGCAGGTGTTTGTCCATGTGTCGACTGGTGAGTTTACAGGTTTCATTTCTCTCTAGCTCGGGCTGTTCTGCGCAAGATCAGCCACTGAAACAGAAAGGATGCTTGATGGATTAACAGTTGGGATGGTGATTTCAGCGTATGTAGCTGGACAACAGGAAGGGTTGATACTAGAGAAACCATACCGTATGGGTGAGACGCTCAACGAAACTTCTGGGTTGGACATCGAGCAAGAGCTGAAGGTGGCGGAGGAAAGACTGAAGGAACTGCAGGCCCAGAAGCTTACAAAGAAAGAAGAGAGGATCGCCATGAAAGAACTAGGACTGAAAAGGTAAGAGCTGCTCCATTTCAATTCCTTCTCATTATTATTAATAAACTGCTAAACTGTAAAGGGGTCAGTCATTTTTAGGAGGACTTTGGATTGAATTTTCTATATCGTCATCGTCATTACTCATCCTCGTCCCTCCCCTCACACCTGAAAAAATAAAATAAAATAAAATCAGGGTCCGTTTGGTTTAAAGTAAGAATCAGAACCGGAATTGGAATCAACTGTCCCTTTCGCTTATTTGGTTAAAATGGGAATCCGAATTTTATAAAATATGCATAATTGGAAAGAGAGTTGGCATCGAATACAGAGAAATAAGATTTGGGAGAATGACCAATCAGCAGATCAAAATTTTATAGCCCAAAAAGGGATGTCAAATTTACGGGCAGGATGTGATTTATAGGGGGAGAGGATTAATAGTAAGGGGGCTGGAATTCAGAATTCTGCATCGTGTAAGATTTAGGATTCTCATTTCCAAAGGGTGCGGTCAGAATCCATTCCACCCAATCATATGGCTAGAATTAGAATGACTCACTCATGAATGAGTCAAATGACTATTTAGTTAGATATCAATGCAAAGGGTGGTATTGATGTAGAGTAGATTCCAATCTGACGTCAGAATATTCTCACCAGGGATCCTTGGTTTTTTATTTCTTATTTTTATTGGAATATGATATAATTGCATGATAGTGAGGCTGTGTGAGTCTAAACCGGTCGGTGGGGAAGGGAGAGAGTGGAGGCGGGATCCGAGTCAATGGGGATATATACAAATTTTAGTTTCCAGTTGTAGCTTCTAAGAATGTTATCTCCTTGGGATTAGACAGCATTCAATAACAGCCCATGGGCGTCGGCCTAAACACATTATTTATTTATGTTTTAGTAAGCTTTATTCGGCTTTGGCCCCACAGGGGTAAAGGTTTCTGCAAACTTGACTTAGGCCATTTAAGAGGGTGAGCTAAAGATTCAACTACTTAGTAGTGATTTGGACAAACTGTTCAAAACTGGCTGAAGTGGATAGCCCTTCAAATGACCGACTCAAGAGGCAGGCTGTTCATGTGGGGCCCAGATCAAAAGCTAGTTGATCTGCTTATATTTCATCCCTCCCAAAGGGACACTCAGGTAGGGTTGAAGCTTTTGGTTGAATGGCTCTAATGAGCTGTCTAGGAGAAGCCTCAAAGCTTAACCGAGGAGTCATGTTGTTCGAGCTTTTCGAGGTTGTCAGTAAACAGTGTTTACAGACCATGCAGATGCAGGTAAGGGCCGTTAGGCCAATCTCACAAGTCAAAAGCCGCTGTGTCTAAGTCCACTCACATTGGCACTTTAATGGGTCAGTGGGGTCAATGACAGAGTTCAGATTGGCCCATCGACACAAAGTAGAGAATTTTCCCATCCACAGCTTGAACTTGCACCTCCTCGTTACAACTTACAAGGGGCTATCTGTTTCCAGATAAGTCGTTTGGAACCACTTTCATTATTCATGGTGATAGTGGTTCCAAACAGACTTTACTGATCAAGTCTATTTCCTTCAGACCAAACACACCATTAGAGAAAATATGGACTTGGGCTAGAAACCATGGAGGGATACAGAAGCTACATTAATTCTCTTACAGTGAATCTAGAGTATTGTTGTTAGTTAGAAATAGTGAAGAGGTACATAAATTGCATGTTCATGGTATCAACAGATGGAGAAATGTCAATTGGATACCATACAACTTGCAGAACAGATTGGCAGTTGCATTGACGTGAGGACACTGCATATTTGTCACTATTATATAGTAAAGATWAACAATAATAAATGAAGCATGTCAGACCGACCTGAATCCTACACAACATTTCAACTCAATGAATGGAGGTGTGTGAATGGGAACAATATGCAAACTATATGCATTAATTATATGTTCCTTTAGTATTTCTTCTCAATCGCCTGTGCTTTTCTGTATATCACTGATTCATTAAAAAATTAGAAAACATACTGTTAAATCTGTTTGAATATTTAAACCAATAAATCAAAAAATACCRTAGGAAACGCTCATTGGATCAACTAGATTGAAACATAAGGATGGATGATCATTTTTGCCTGGGCCCACATTGTTGAGCCGCCCATAAATTATACTATATTATATTTATAATATAAATAATTAATATATACAATAAAATTGTATCATATTGTTCTTTCTATTTAGATAAATTTAAATGTTATGTTTCTTTTGGAAAGTAGTTTTATCAACTTATTATGCTGGTAAACCTGGGCCTAGATGTGGGTGAGACCGGGCCCATCTCAGGCCCATCCCATGATCATCACAGCCCCAGGCCTAGCAACTGAAAATGTTCTTACATCGATTGGATGGTCTGGCTTGACCATCTATTACTACTAATTAATGGCAGTTATAGCCAAATAATAAATAGGATCCAATAGAATAACCCTGATTTAACCAATTAAGCAACCTTTTTCTTCATGATTACTTAGCCTCCCCCTCTCTCTCTCTCTAGTCCTATTTTATATCACTAGATAGATTCAAATGAAATGAAAAAAAAAAAGAAAGAAAAGGGTAAAGTTGATAGAGTGAAGGGTTGAGATTGAAGTATAGAAAAGAAAAATGTGAAGGACATAAAAAAATTAATAGTGATTTTAGATATGATAAAAACAATAATGCATTTGGTTAACCAATAAGATAGTCGGTTTAAGGTATCAGAGAAACTGCTGGCCTATGACCTCGTCATAACTCAATTATTTGGTGGTTTAGAACCTTGCACTGGTTAGACCAACCACCAACACCACTAATCTCTTTCTCTTCTATTTTCTACCAAATCAAACATAGACAAAGGCATGAGAGTGGGGACACAATTGGATCAAAAGGAATGGGGTCCACTAGAACCTGGGCCAGGCCAGATGATTATAGCCCAGACCCCATAATCCGAGTGTCAGTGAGATTAGGGTAGCAGAGAACTGGAGAAGTACGTGGGACCCATTGGCTTATACAATGGATAGAACATTGCTGGAGGAGGAATGCCAACTAACCAYCTAGACTACGAGTTCACTTTGATCATGAATCGCAGCCTTTCGACGTACTGCCGTGGYCCCACCATAATGTCGTTTCTTCTGATTCAAGATGGGGACACAGCCATAGATTCAAGGTCGTGATTTCATGGTTTTTCCCCATAGCAAAACTGGATTACTAGATTGCATGGTCATTTGGCTTTTAGTTAGTTCTATCATAAATAATTTGTGATGATGGTTTGATTGTGTTATTTAAAATATTTTATTTTTATTAAAAGTTAAAACTTCAAAATAGATTCACAATTGTTTGATTGTGTTATTTAAAAAAATGGTAAGATATCTTAATCAATCACACCCTGGACAATTTTGTCCATATTCCAGTTTGTGCAAAAACTTCCAAAGGTTAGGTATGGACAAATTTGTCCAGAGCCACTTTGTGCAAAAACAGCCAAAGGTTAGGTCTATGTCCGATGACCAACTCCTACCAAAACCTGGGATCGTAGGAATTAGAATTGGACAATGTTATTTATTTATTATTTCCTACATTACTTATTAATTATTTACTGTACTTTAAATAAATGTGGAGGAGAATTTGTGAATTTTTTATCCCAAGTATCATGTGTTAAATCACTGTCTTCAAAATCGGATCGGACCGTATGATTGGATTGGAAAAACTGGGAATCGGTCATTTGACCAGTTCTGTTTTCCTCCAAAATCGTTTTTTCCTTCAAAACCATTGATTTTGGTCAGTAAATCGCTCAATCATTCAAACGGTTTTGACAGTTTTCTAATTTTTTTTGTTAGAACGGGTTGGCTGTTCGGGTTGAACGGTCAGACCGTTCAAACCAGTAACTGGACCTCTGACCGATTTAGTCACCGGTTCGTTTTTAAAAACCATGTGTCAAATAGAAAAAAAAAAGGCACATCATCCTTATGCTACCATACCTACGAAAAATTGCCTTAACACCAATGGTGTCCATCAATGACCCGGTTGTCAAGATGGTCACTTGGCATTCAGGGGTGTCAACTGGACCRGATTTGATCCAATTCAATCTGATCAATATTTTATTAGACTATTTTGGACCAGCCTAATTCGATGTCTGAACCATCCAAACTGTTCAAATTGGTTTCGACATAGATTGGTTCTAGCCCATTGACACCTGTATTTTAATCTTTTATCAATGGACCCGGTACTGATTCAATCTCATCCAATCCAATATAAATTTATTACAGATGGACCAGGTCCGATCCAATCCAATAAATATTTTGRACCATTAAGTCTCGACTGGTTCTATTCAATATGTTTCATTGATTCATCCAATCCATCCAAATTGATTTTGATTTGGACGGGTCCAACCAAAACTGGTTCATTGATTCATTTCCTCTCTAATATTCCTCTGTAATGTGGAACATTATTAGTTCATCTCTATAAATTCTAACTAGCATATATAGCTATTACCACACTCAAAATGTAGAATGTGACATACTACTTTCTTCACAAGCTTCCCTACACAACTTGTGATTTTTGATTTCTGCCTCGCAGAGATATTTATCCTATTCAATCTGAGCAATTCATCAAGTAGGGACCTCTAGATTAGCCACCYATTCAATCCTATAACCCACGTCACCTTGTACCTCACCTTTCGTTATGGACTGAAAGATTCAAGCGAGAATGACTGATCAGTCCAGGTCAGAAATTTTTTAACCCCACATACAGGGGGGATGAATCCTGACCATGGATTGATGCCAAATCCACGGGCAGGATGTGGTTTATAGGGGGGGTTTAGTAGACTATTGGGGGTTGTAATTGAGAATTCTGCATTGAGCTGCAGTGTACTTAACCCAACAGATTAGATTTCTTAGCCATTCAGGCTTCTTTGCCAAAGGATAAAACTAGTTCCCTTTAGGGAGGCAAACCCAACAGATTTCTTGGATTTTTCCTTGATCATTAAAAAACATTTGTTTTTTCTGATGATTGAAAACATAATGATATATTAAAAACTAGTGAACAGCACATGGGCT